CCAACGTGCGACACCAGCAAGTGCTGCTTCAAACAGGCAACTCCTTTCGTAACCTTTCTATTCGCTCTCCGTCGCCGAGTCAGCTTAACTGCAACGCGTAAGCATTCCTATCGTGCGTTGGTAGTGTGGACCCGCATCTTGTCATAGTGGACCCTGATCGTCACCAGCCCGTTGTGAGATCGGGAGGCAGCAGCATTCCGACGATGCCAATTCGTTTGGTGCCGCAATTGTATTCTTGGTGATCAAGGCAGCAGTGCAGAGACTTTGGCACTATTTCTCTATTGTAATCTGACGCGTTCAATCGTTGTATCTTCGATTGATTGTTGAGCTCTCCTCAGCTGCACGGGCCGGCGTCAGCACCTTCCAGTTTGGGAAGGAGGTCTCGCCGATACCCACAATCCTATAACAAGCCGACATCGCCACCTCTACCCCTTTCTTGCATGCAGCGGCCCCAGATCATGCACGATACCATCATGGGAAATGGGTTCGCTCCAAGGCACCCGTCTAGGCTTCGGTACTCCCTCCTCTGAGGATATTCAGACTGTCTCGTCACATTGTGAGACCTTGGAAGCATGTCCACTGCTGTCGCAACTAAACCTCCATGAAGCAGCACCATCACACTGGTTCATTGGACCAGAGCCAGCAACAACGATGACTCCAGTTTGACCACAGCGATGTCCTAAACTTCGCCAGACGGCGGGAATCTGGCCTACTGACAACATGTCCCTGTACAATGTATCAGCACTGTGAACACACGATAGTGAGACTCACAGAAGACAATTCAGGGAGGAGTATATAAGCAATCATGGTTACACATGCAGAACCGCAATCCGCTGATAGCCTCCCGCTCTCTCAACACCACTACCTACAAATCCATCATCCTCACGCTCTGGTACTGCCAAACATCTCGCCTTCCGACCTCACGATGAACTCCCTTACCGCAGAAGAGCTGCAAGAACGCATCGCCTCAGGAGAGGAGGTGGACTTCGAGCAAACCGGCTTCACCTTCATAGGCACTAAAGGCAAGGGCTCCAAACGTAACAAGACCAAACGCAACAAGGAGCCCCTACCAACTGTCGCTGAAGAAGGCCTCAAGATCACCAACCCCAACACGAACGCATCTGGCCAACCTTCATCCTCTGCCCCTGAACCCGCTCCGGCACCCCAAGTTAGCCCTCGTCGCCCCGTCCTCTCCCCCTTCCAATCTCACGCATCGCTCAACCAGTCCACTCTCAACATCAATCAAGCTACCACCCAATCGTCTGCTCCACTTCCCCAGGCATCTCCGCCTAGTAGCACGCGCTCCACTCACGGCGATGGGCAGTCTGTCACAGAGCCACACGCCTACCGCAAGCGCGATCGCTTTGCTATGAACTTTCTGTGCTATAGTCCTCATGAGCGCTGGGCCAAGCGTGTAGATAGCGCCAAGGGTAAGAAGGCCTCGAAGAAGTCAGCGGAGGAGGATAGTGATTCGGATAGTGAGAATGGGGGTCGTGCGGGTTGGGGCTGCTTCTAGGGAAGTGACTAGGTGAAGGGATTAGGGGAGGGAAAGTGAGTAGGATATGGACACAGGTACTGTAAGTGAAACCTTTGGTTTGGGAATGGACGGATGCAAATTGTGATGAACAGGTGTTCTTGGTGTGTAAAGGTTGGCTGGCCAGTCTATGCAGCCCCGAGTTCATGGAGAAGTAAGCTAAATTGAGAATGGATTTCTTTATCATTGATATGCTCTTAAAGCGTCTATCAACGTGCAAATAACACTGATCCCGAATGTACGATTTTCCATAACCAAATCCAGGCGGCTTCGAAGGTCGCCGCTTCCACCGCTCCTTCCACACCTGCTGGACACCTGGGTCACCGCCCCTTCCCAATAAAACAGCCAAGACTCAAGACTCTTCCTATCTCATCTTCAATTTTTCCTCTCCCCATTACTTCTCCTGACCATCTCATCCCTCCTTCGGACCCCTCCCGCACCGCTAACGCCGGTGGCAGACCTGCTTCGTTGAGCTTAAACGCTGTCGACATCCCCTGTAAGCGCATGGACCGAGTGCGGACCCTGAGAACACTACGCCAGGGAGGAGTTGCTTGGCTGACTACTTACGCAGAAGACTGAGAGCTCTTTCCCGACTCACACGAACTGAAGCACAGATCGGGCGACGATAACAAGATGAGAGAAAGCCGAGAGAGCCTCGAAGGGATAAAGAAGAAGTGTGAAGAACAAAAGAAGAAGATTGAGCACCTTGAGAGGAAGGTCAGAATCCTCAAAAATGAGGTCGACAGCGAGAAGTGGAGAGCGGACGCTCTTGCCGAACAGAACAAAATACTTTCATTGGAGGTCAGGGTCAAGACAGCGCATGTCAATGCCTTGAAAATTCAGAACCAAAGATTGAAGGAAAGTGGAGACGTAAAGGGCTTGGAAGAGGGGGATCTCGCGGACAAGAAAGCACTTGAAGCTCTTTTCCATAGCGCCCGTTCAATGATCCACCAGTGCAGATTGGGCGGCATGTCGTCCGACGAAGTCGTCGAGAAACAGCAGAGACTGACCCACACTGTACTGGAACTAGTCGACACAGCAATAATACACCTAGACGAGAAGAGTGAGCGCAATAGAGGTCAAGCGGAGAAACTCCACAAAGCTGAGAACGACCTCGCAACACTGGAACGGAAGAGAACCGAGGAGAAAAGCGAGCAAGAAAATTGTAAAGAGCTCGATAACTGTTATACACGAGGATACCTTGAGGAGTTAGGCTGGTACCTGGGCGATCCTGAAGCATGGCTCAAGAAAGCCGTCCATGGTTCGATACCCTCTGTGGTTTCTGGGGGCGGGTCTGGAAGGACGAGAAGGATGCGGGTCTCTTCAGCAATTCGGAGCACGAAAAGTCGGTACCCTACTATCATCTCGGGTTCGTGATCGAATGCCTGCTCCACAAAGGAGTGTTTGAGGTTATTCGTCTACAAGAATGCGTTCCAACTCCCCGTCTGCCCCGCTTAGTGCATCAAACTCGGACGATCACTGTTCGACTCCACAGGCATCACTGGGATGGACAGTATAAGGATATCTTGAACTGCGGAGATCGTCCCCCTTCACCCTGGTCAGACAGCAGCCTGAGCACATATTCAACAGACTCAGAGGATGACTGGTTTATGCGCGCGTGAGTCTGAAGTTTCACCTTACGCATGGTGTTTCCTTTGCGTTCAACAGATAGATATTGCAATGCATGAAAAGTAAGTTTGATGTCAGGGAATGTTCCAGAACATCAGGATGCTGTCTCGTTAACCAGTGTCTGTCTCCAGGGCAACTACGGACACCCTTTGGCTCTATCCAAAGCACCAAAGGACCACTCTATGCCTAGCCAACAGAAGTCACTCCTTACATTTCGTTTCTCTACCACCGTTGGACGCGACTTTGGACAACACCTCCTTGTCCTCAGCGTACGGGATTTTAGCTGATAGTCCAAGTAGCCCAAAGACCCGAAGAGGAAAATACCAAGGTTTCGAACAGGTTCCAAAGCAAACATGGAGTCGGGAAGTGTTCTTGGGACGGAAGGCCACCCCTGCAAGGAAAGACACATGCATTTGTTCTCCTTACACCTTCTGGTCAAGGTCGATCATGCATTGAACAAGTTGCTGATGCAGTTTGTGCTTCTCAATCATTCGACGCACGTCCAGAAAGCCAATTCACCGCCTATATATACATACCATTATGTGCCCATTTTCTCCCCTTGCGCTTATTACCCATTTGTCAGTTCTCCCGGAAGTCAACACCAACGCCGATATTCCGACTCACTCTACTTCTCCATCGAGGAAACCACAACCCCATCATGCATCAGAACGACATGGAGTTTTCACCCATGGGCATCCGCCCCCGACAACAGAAAAAGCTCATCCAAGACCAAGAAGCCACGATCGAATCCCTGCAGCGTCAACTCAGCACCGAAAAGAAGAAAACAGATACACTCAAGTGGCACAACGACTCTCTGCTCCAGGATCTCAAACTCGAAAAGCAGACCGTGCAAACGAGTCGACAGCACATCAGTCTCTTGAAACCTCAGATCTTAGCGTACAGGGAGGCGGAAGAACGGGAGATGAAGATGAGAGATGAGCTGCGTATGGAGATTGCGTTGCTTAGGCAGAAGGTGGCTACCATTTATGCTGTTTTGAGAGTGGATAACGACGTCGGTGTGGCAGCGCGCGATGAGCTGGTGAGGGAGAACGAAATACTGCGGAATCAACTGAGGGGGAAGGGACGGGATAGATGCCGAGAACCCTCGGCAGGGAAGAGGCCGATGGGTTCGAGAGAAAAGGGCTTTGTGGTTACAGAGGATGAGTGTGAGAATGTGAGTACGTATACATGTTGGTCGGACATCTACTAGAGAGCGGCCGGATAGGAATGATCGGTGTGGTAAAGGATGGAGGGAGTGGTTCATGTGCACATGTTACGGAATTTGTTAGGGTCAAAGTGTAGCACCATAGTATCGAATCGGATTACTCCACTGAGACTCTTTTCGTGCCCCGATTGCTGTGGCAGCTTCGAAAATTTGTTCCAATGTATATACACGTGCTCCTTTCGAAGATCCATTCTGCCTTGATGTTGGATGCGTAAATCTTGATGTGAAACCCAATCCATACGTGAAGTCCATACTTCAAGCAAGAATGACACATTCGCATTCTTCACGCCGCCTTGGTTGGACCCGAAATTGCCAGTAGAGGAAGTTAATTCAGAGCGACTACATTGCAGTCTATCACGTACCGGCTGAAAGGAGGAGGTTCGATTGTTCGAGTCCCCATCTGGGAGTTCTGTTCTGTTCCTTCCGTCCCCTGTCACTTCCTGCCTTTTTCGGCACGAAGCGTTAGTGTAGTTTAGTTGCTGCGCAGGTTTTCCCTGGGTATGAAACGACGACAGCAGACCAGACACACTTGGAAACAAAAGAAAAACCCAAGTAGCTGCACTAAACCGCGACTGATAGAGCGCAAAAACAAAAAAAGAAAAGAACAAAAAACTCTCCGACGGGGAATCGAACCCCGGTCTCCCGCGCTCGCAACATTGCTGATGACAAGCGGAAATCATGACCACTAGACCATCGAAGAAGTCGCCCGAAGGCGGATGGTTGGTGTTGCTTGATGGATGGTGGAATGGGCATAGAAATCTGTATTGACTGCAAACGCGGCTGTATGGATACTGCCACCTAACAGCATCACATACGGCACCGGCATGGGAAGCACAAGAACTTATACAGGGCTGCAAGATGTGTTTCTTGAGTTGGAGAGACATAGAGTGCAAAGGGGCATGATTTGCGCGTGTCATCATCAATGTTGCGAGCGCGGTGAGTCCGGCTACAACTTCTTAGAGTCTATACCAGCTGTAGAGGACACCTTAAAACAGTCTCTAATCCAAAAGAGAGGCTTAAGCTTGCTCGATCCGCTTCAATAATATACATATGCCTTCTTAAGAGAGTTGCAAATATGGCAAAATGACAGAACGTGATTTAGGGGCGAGATCGGGTCATTTTGGTCTATGTTATATTTGCGCGGGGAGTTGTATCCAGTCGATCCTCTCGGAGAAGGACGTGCATGGATGCAGAGGCAATGGCTGTGATGAAATTGAAAACTTGGGAAACAATCCATCGTAATTAGCTTTATCATATGATCTCTATGCTTTGCGCTGATCCAAAAACAAAACGCCTGATCCAAGACGACAAATAGAGCGGGAGAGAGTATGCCTGAAACTCCGTGATCCCCGTCCCGCTTTTGCACCAAAACCCGTGGTTGTTTCGTCAGTTTACATAGGATTACAAGACGAACAGAAGAACAGCGCTATAGGCGCGATGCATGCTTTGCCAAACCATATCCCCACCCCTTCGAGAAGAGAACCTTTACTCATGGTACAAAGTCTCCAGCAAATAAACCACGGCAAATACCAAAAACGCGATTGCGCCACCGAGTGTAACTGTCAGACGTTAGTGAATGCACATCCCTGGATACAATGCAAGAAGGGAAACTTACCAACACGCATGCTAACCCGTCCAGCAATCGCCCGCCCACCGAGTACTGCACCAGCGGTACAGCACCCGTGTCCCACCACCGCGCCACCGGTGACCCACCAATAGTCGCTCCCAGCAGCCATGGCAATCGTGGCAATCTGGCTGCGATCACCCCATTCGCCGAGGAATGTCATCACAAACGTCTGAACCCAAGCCGGCGACAGAAGTAGCGAAAACAGGTTATTCATCCCTGCCATTACCGTTGATAGACCATTTCCACCTGGCGACGGGGTACGATCCGGCGAAGATGAAGGACTCCGTGCGGGTGCTGGTAACCGGGAGTTCGAGCGCGAACGTCTATCTGCAGCGCGGCCGGACTCCAGAATGTAAGGCGAGATTGAGGACTTCCTGCGCGCCGAACTGCCTGTTCGTGCGAGGTGTTCCTTTTCCTCCAGCTCAGCTTCGACTTCGCGCATTTCCTCTCCGACGCCTTCGTTGGGGTCCATAGCGAGTCCCTCGCGGAGGAGTTTGACACCAAATATAGCGAACAGGACGGCGGCAGCGAAATGGGTAAAGCGTTCGGGAATGAGGGTAGGTACGGCATGACCCAAGATGGCGGAAAGGACGGTCATGGCGATAAGAGCGCTGAAGGCGGCGGAGAAGACAACGAGACGGGGGTGTCGCATTGCCATTAGAGCAGCGACGAGGAAGGTTTTGTCGCCAATCTCGGAGAAGATGATCATGGTCAGGGACAGGATGAAGGAGTGGAATGGCTTGATAACGCCATCGGGTTCGTCGTCATGTTCGGAGTCCGAGTCTCCTGATGTTGGAGGCGGCCGGGTGCTAAGCGGGTCGTCCTTTGGAAGTGAAGGTGGCACAGGAAGGGGGATGTCGTGTGGCGACTCGGGTAGATCTGAGGGTTTCTGCATTGGAGTCAGTTGCACGTTGTGGGGCAGACCTCGTATGCAGGACTTACCTCGAGACCCTGGGCTCCTAACCGCCGCGTCTCCGCAGAGCTATCATTATCCTCATCGATTGCCTCTTGGCCGCTGTGAGGGTGCGGAGGCGGTTCTTTCGGCGACTGGGGAACCTGCCCTACTCGCTCGCCGGTCTTGCCCTCCTGCTTCTTTCTCTCCTGCTCTTTCGCGGAGACACCACCCTCTGTGCCAGTGTTGCCCTTCGGCGTTTCCCTGTCGCGATGGTCCATGACGCTATCTCCTTCCGCTCCCAATGCAGCCCATTCTTCCTTGGTCAACTCTTTGGTAGGTGAGTTGTGCTCCGCGACTTCGCCCAACTCTTCCACAACGGCAGGCAACTTTTGTTTCGAGGAGGTCCGGTCGTCGACCCATGGCCCTTCATGCGGTTTCCCATCGAGTCCGTCTACGGGCGCATCTTTTGTAGCTTTTGAAGGCGGGGTTGGCGGCGCAGGTGATGGGGTCGAGAGGTCGTCGTACTCTGGTATTACGGCGCGTGCTAGTTGCTGGTCTTCAGCGTCGGTGGGAACAGCAGCAGCGAGCGCCTGGAGTGCGGGGAAGAGGAGAACGAGCGCTGGAGCTCGCGCAGGCCGTAGTCTCATGGCTGTGCTGAAAAGCGAACGAATGTGTTGTATGCTGGAGCGCAGAGAGGCGCACTGGGAAATGGAAGGCTGCAAATCAACGCAGGACTCCTGGGGCGCCGATCACTTGTGTAGAAGAAACAGAGTAAGGAGGGTATCGCGAAACAGAGGGTATGCGTTCTCGTAAGTTGGGGTGTGGTTGAGGTGACGGGTTTAAAAAATAGGAGACAGGTGCAAGGGGCCTTTGGGGCTGCTGAGGCCAATCGCCAGCGGCGCTGGAAAGGGGAAGGGGTGTCCGCGATCTCTCGACTCCTAATGTTGCAGATAATTCCTCGTACCACGTACCATACCCTGCCTATGAGTCGCACGGTACAAACGTCTCTGCAAATGTCGATCGAGGGCTGCGCATGTGTGGCACTTTCATCATATCTAGGGTCCAACGTGCTGGGATGGGAACGTTGAGAAGCTTGGCGGTCACATGATACAATAGTGCCAAGCTCCATGGATGGTCGTTCGCGCTTACCCTAACCCTAGGGTACGCCCCTCCAAACAACAGTGACGCGCCTCCGCACAACGCGTTGGCAAAGCGCCGTCCCACTTTCACTTTTACTTAAAAAGAACATCAGCAAAACCTCCTGCCTGCGGTCGCAGTCTATTTGAAATGGCTCGCCTCACTCCCGGCCCTCAAGGGACTGTAGTCGCGACTCCTCAAGCCAGACCGAAGAGGGCGACCCGGAGCGCAAGTCGCGACATCGCAGAGTTACCTATCAAGCCTTTGCGTCGGAGCACACGTCAGGCGAGTGTAACAAGCATAGCAAGTGAGGGTGGCAATGATGACCTACCAAAACATGGAGTCTCATTTTCAATGAAGGATTCAGTTGCAGGTTAGTCTTTGTCTGCTACTACCAGTTGTCTCCCCACACGAACCTTATCGCCTGCATACATCTCCTGAAGAGCTTACCGCTACGTTTGATGCTGACAGAAGCCGTGAATCACCAGAACTCACCATGGTTGAAGAGATGGATTCTGAAGTTGATTTCGCGAATGTGCCTCAGAGTACGCCTCGTCGCCCTAGGAAGATGGAGCCCCTAGCCCACCGCTCCCCTGAAGGAAGTGCTGACGAAATCTCCGGAACCACTGTGATAGCGTCATTGTCGCAAACTGAGGCTCAAGATCTGGATTCTGACGACATCAAGGACAGCCTGGATGATCTCTTCAAAAGGTCTACCAAGTTCCTAGAATTCCTCGTGCCCAAGCACGCAGGTTTGGACAACGAGCGCAAACTCGAAGAGGACTTGAAATTCCTTGAAGAGTTTCGGGAACCCAGCCTAGAATTTCGGAACCGTTTTCAGCGGCTGGAGAAGAAGCTGAAAATGGTTTTGTCTGACTTCAAAACGGAGAGACAGCCGTATATTCTTCCTCGCGCCATACGACGGAAAATGGCGCCAGACCAAGACCCCAGCAAAGCACAGCCTGGCCTGGACTTGGTTGTCTACTTGGCCAATCTAGTTGCTTTTATCAAGCAACTGATAATTTGTGAATCACGGGATAAGGCAAGTGACGTGCTACGGGAGCTTGATAACACATTCCCCCAATACTTCCTCTCGGGGGTAAAGCACGACGGTCCGGATCTAGTCAACGGAGAGACTGCTCTCACGAAAGAGACATTCTCTCTGGCACTCGAACTTCGCACCCACCTGGCCATCACAAGATTGGAAGCTGCGTCAACCCACGATGATTCTGACCCAGACGCTACAATCGATGACATATTCTATCGCCTGGATCACGATGATTCCACTGGCATGCGGGGATGGAATGTACCCGGGCTCAAAGAAGGAGGTCTCTCGTCAAGCCAGGAGTCCGCCCTTGAAGAGAGAGCAGAGTTGTGCTCGAAGATGGACTTTAGTACCTTTCCCTGGGATTCACTTATTGTGGAGCTTCTAGGTTGGGTACGCTTACGACGAGGCGAGCTATTAGAATCTGTTCGCGCCAGTGGTGGCATCGAAGGCCTTCTCAAACTAGCGAACGGCCAAGCATCTGTACGACAGGTTGCAAGTCGGCCAGAGATTAAGTCAGTTGACGGCTGTTCATTTACGTCGGAAAACAGGAGAGGCAGTGGCAAGTTCGACGCGGCACGAGCGAGATTCATGAACCGAGTGGCACACCCACCGCCGCAAGGACCCGAAGCTGAGCCGGGGAAGACAAGCCATGTTGAACCAACAAATGAGTCTCAAAAGGCTGCAACAGGGCGACCACGTGAGGAGGCGTTGGAGGGCGGCCTGGAACCAGCACTACCAGCTCATGATGACGATGACTTTGGGCAAGGACTCGAAGATGCCGTCGGAGTACCATCAACCGAAGCTGCATTACCAGTTGTCAATGACGATGAGTCTGGACAAGGGCCTGAGGATCCTTTGACAGGTGCTTCAAACAAGCTTCCAGAGACGATAGCTGAGTTCGTGAACTTCCACAAAAATGCCAAGAAAGCGGACAAGGAGAACCGGGGAGACTTCTTTGCACGACAGGCTAACGCCAGACGAATCGAGTTCGGT